GTTTTTTTCTCTTCAATTCCCACCTCTGGCAAACAGCTCATGCCACAAAGAGAAGGCAGACAGCAGAGCTGGARGAGCAAAAGTGCTATAAAATATGTGACAGTGAGTGATGCGGAAAGAGGTAGACGGGGAAGTGAGTGTTGGTAACACTTTTGAGGATCAATCAAGTGCTTGCCTTTTTGCTATCGCTTGAACTGTGGTGTCACTCCTACAGGACTTTAGACAACTGTTTGTTGGAGCACTTACAAAATCCAGCAGTTTCTCTTTTCAGGTATGAATGAAAAATAGCAAATAGCGGAAGAATAAATTGCTTATTCCACATAAAAAAGGCTGGCTGAGTTTGGCTTGATATAAAACTTCCTTCACACAATACAAGATTGCTTGTGCACTGAGAAATCTGATGGGCTGTCAGAATTTAGATCCAAACTGACTGTGAGGTGTACTGGGACCTTGGTTATACAATTAAGTCAGAGGGAACAGAATTCTTCACAGTATTATCCAGTTCATATATAACTTGAGGTTTGTCCTCTAATAGTTATTTAGGATGAGCTAAATCATTTGTCTCTCCACTGACTACAGAAGGAACCTGGACAGCTAACTTGGAATAGACAATCAATTTTTTGATAGCTCACATTAGGAGAGGTGGAACCGACGTGTAGTATATTTCATATAACCAGTATCCTACTAAAATTTATTTTTCAGAATTAAATTTAAAGAGTGGAGGAGAATTTTGCCAGTAAGRTTTGAAAATAGACAGACACTTAGCAAGGTAGAGACAAAACAACGATGTTCCTGCCTGAAGGTGACAGAAGGGWGAGGGCCTGCATTCAACAGCAGCCAGATTGTATTCCGGGTGGGGCAGAGGGAGGGGAGCAGGARGGAGAAAAGGCTTTTAAAAGTCTTATTCCATATGTTTTTGAATAATCGAAAGTATGTCAGGGGGGATAAAAAACCAAAACACTAAACCAACAAAACCCAACCCTATGTGGCTGCACTCTCCAGCTGACTCTGTGAGGCACTGAAGCCTTTTAAACTCAGTTTACAAAGATTCAGCAGACAAATCTTGGACAGATTCACAGTAAGGAGTTTACATYTCTCATCTCTAAGGTAAACCTAGGTCTGTCATAAACATACCAGTTTATGCTGCCACTGCCAGTGCTTCTCCTGGTAGTAGAGGCTCTACAGTGTCACTTGGTATCATTGCTTATCAAGAATGAAATAAGGATGATTAAAGGACAGGAAAGGAAAAAAGTGGATGAAAAGCACCATCCAATCTAGTCAGGAGATAAAAATACTTAAATGTCTGAAAGGCAGTTACATTGCACCATTGGTTTAATTGGTCTACATATCAGAAAATTATCATTTACTTAGCAAGGAAGTGTTTATACGTCAGAGGCAGGATATGTCTTAGGCTGATAATGCAGAGTAAGAAATGCATAAGATTTTACAACCACAGGAAAGAAGACTAATAATGAGAAAGCAGATTARGTTTTTACAACTGAGAAATTATCTCCCAGCTACATTAAACTATTGCTTTGGAACAAAACTACACTGTGATGGTTCTTGTTTTCTAGAGACTGACACCATTCATGGCTGCAGCCAGGAGGAGAAATGCACCAACAGAGAGCTCCCTGTGATATAGTGGTCAGGAGACACCATTCAGATGCTGTGCTTCTGCCTGTATTCCTGCCAAAGTGTTGCAGGGTTAGCTCGGGAGATTTTTCAACAACTTTTRAATAACTTCAGCTTTTCCCTCCATGCTGCAGAGTCTGATAGCTATCTCGGCACCTTTGTGCCTGGCTGGCAAGGTTTTCTAGAAGGGAGGAGCAGACAAGTTTACAACTCTCAGGCTTCATTAAGTTCAAAGATTAAACTATGTGCAAATCCATGGACACTGTAGCTGAATGTTGACTTGTATCTGTGTATTGGCATTGCTATTTGTAGTCTGGCAGCTTCAGAACAGTCTATTCAAATTCCCTTGAGTAATCTGCTCAAGGAAAAGCTAAATACTTGAAGTCAAATCTAATTACCTCTGTGCAGGGTGGCTATCCGGCCAGCACTGTCCATTTTTGGTCTGTCTTGGACATTGTCACACCATTTCTTTACGTGCCCAACAGCAAATACATGAAATATGCAAAAGCAGCAAGATTAAAGCATATGTTCAAGATATTATACCTCATGTGCTTGCCATTGACAGCTTAATTTTCATGTTGGTGAGTTTTGTGATCTTGTTCACCAAAACCAGCATACAGAAATATGAAGAATTAATGCTTGCTTTTTTCCAGCTGATGTACTTTAGCTGAATTAATACAAGTAAGCACCAAAATTCATCCTTTTAGAACATCAAGTGTGACGTGAAATAAGCAAGTGAAAGTGCAGACCAGTTCTGAGCAGCCCCATAAAGGGGTGTATCCTGTTATTTCCACTGTTTGTCAGTAGGAACTGGARGTTCTGCTGAAATAAAAACTATTTGAGCAACCAAGGGGAATTTTTCAAGCCCAGCAGTTGAAATGTGTTACGCAATTGCATCTTTGCCTAACCCTGCCTCACAAAGCAGGCACAGTATTTGTCAAGATCATAAAGTACCAGAATTTTAGAGCTCAGAAGTCCCAAATTCCAGCCTCCTCTTCTTTTGGTATGCTGCTTTCTGYAAAAAGAAAAATATTAAAAGGTTTTGAGAGGCTCCCCAGATTGACGTCTGCTGTTCGATACCCACCTAATGAGCTGCTTAACAACTGTTACCAAAATTAATGAGTCAAGTCACAGTTGTAATTACCATATTGCAGATCACAGTATTGTATTAGATTACCATGGACTTCTATTTAGGAATATTTACACCATGACGACTGTTTAAAATGTGCTTCAGTGTTTCAGCAGATTGCATTGCCTCATAGCCCACATTTATTAGGTTAGGCAGGAGTCRCAGGAGCCTTATCATGAATTCTTTGGTTCCAGCTTGCAGGGATCAATGAAGAGCTAATCTTAATGTTAAGAATATCCAGGTATTGAAAAATGCACAAATGTTAAAAGGAACTTAATCGTATGTGCAAACACACACAGCAAAGGAGCAAATATCTGGGTGATGAAAACAGCAGTCTGGGGCCAGCAGCAAATGGTTTACTATCAGAATATAACTGGACATATATTAATATAACTGGACATAAATTAGTATGATTTAACTCCTACTTCAGGAGAGAAGTGGAATGTTCAGAATTCAATGCTCCAGCAATTTAGGATAACCAAGCATAGTTTTCTTTACATAAAGCCATGACTTCTTCTCTGCAGAAAGAGGTARGAAACAGTTCTACACAACGATATCCTATACATTATCTTGAAAAGGCTGTAATTTTACCTTTGTCTTATTTCACTCTCTGGTAATGAGCAAATTGCTCTTTGCTTTATGAAATCAGATGATGTGGAAATAGTGTTCTTGTGCATTTGTATTTAGCTCCTATTTGTTTACCACTAATAATGCTTCAGTAGGTAGCAGTATGTGTCTGTGTGAGTATGAATATTTTTATATATACATATATATATATATATTTAATATATTTATATTTAAATATATACAAGGCACCTGAGCAAGTGCAGCAAACCAGCTGTTCAAGGTCTGCCACTGTCCTCTAGAGCCAGATATCACAACAGGGAAACACTTCCAGGAGCCTCYCCTCCATTTGCCCAGCCCCATTCACCTCTCTGCAGCCCCCAGCACCTCACCATGTTTATGGAAGAGGGCTTGTCCATGCTACCCCTGCTCCTGTCCAGGCCATTGCCTACCAAAACCAGGATGTGCATCCATTGCCTGATGGATAACTTAGGGGGACCTGCAATGACTGAGCGTTTGGAGCACTTACCTTTGAATCTTGAAAGGGCAATTGCAGAATGGCTGRTCTCGTTCCCCCCATTTCCTTCTCCAGAGAGAGCCTGTTAGTACAGACAAATGAGGCAAGTCAGCAACATCCACCCAGGCAGGATATATGGAGCCAATTCAAGGGTAGGTGGGTAGCAGCTGCAGCCCTGCCAGTGAAATACTACAGTCGTTGCCATTGTGCAGTGAGTCATCAAGCCCCCTTTATTTACACCTTCATATAAGTGCTGGCAAACACTGATTTATGTGCTGAAAGCTGAGAACTGGGRTATGGGCATGTTAAAGGGAGAAACACGAGCACATGCATGCACTGACTAGCAACATATCTTCTGTTTGTCCAGGAGAATTTTAAGCCACGCAGACCTGAAACAGATTGACCTTTTATTACTTTGGAATTGAGGACAGATTTCCACTTTAAAGGCTCAATTATATTGCTGGGCTTGTTTGCTTTTTACGATTTTAGAGGATGCCATGGTAACTTGGGCAATGAAACTGAGCTTAGGCTGTTTTATGTGTTGAATTTCAAGCCCTGAATTGTAGTTTGCAATTTTCATCAATTTGGTGCCTGAAAAATTATTATATTTACATTTGAAGTGCAAGTTATAAGGACTGGTATTTGACAACATTTTTCAGATTGCTGCCTGGTTTTACCTGTTGGAGAAAGTGGAGTTATTCTCGGAAGCATGTGTTTGCTGTCCTTTTCAGAGAGTTTGATAGATTAATGATTTCTGAAGTTCACCTATAAAGAACTGATCTTCCGTAAAATCCATTCTACCAAGTATTTTTGAATGGGATATCTACTCTGATTTCACTAGGAGAAATTTAATTATTTGGATAACCAGGCAGAGACTTTTATTTGTTTTCTCTCCACCTGCAGAATTGCTTGTTTTAGAGGCCTAGTGCTTTAACAATCTATTGACCTCTTCAGGAAAGAGGCACCTTGCAGCTAAAGATCGTTCACAGTGTGGTTATTGGAAAGTTCTGACACAGATGCTTTATGTGAGGCAGTGCCAGAGTGCAGCAAAAATGTGTGTGCTAGAACCAGTTTTTAGCACTTCCTGTATGTTTTAGAGATGTAGGAAAGCATCAGTAAACATTATGGTTCAAGTCTGCATTTGAAACCACAGCTGTCCAGGTAGTAAGTTTTCCTAACAGGGGATCTTCCAGAGTACTGATCAAAATATGAACACTTCCACTGCTGGATGAAAGAAATCAGATTTATTTCAAGCTATTATTTAGTAGATCCCTATAAAGTGGGGCAGTGCAAGAGGAAGGGAGGGAGAGGAATAATGGAGGGAGGAAGGGAACAAGCAAGGGAGAGAGGGAGGAAGAAAGAAAAGAAG